CTTGCTGAGAATGATCAGGGACTGGACACCCTTGGTAGCACTTGCTAGACATTCTCACGCACTGACAGACTGGGTTCCTTGATAGGAGGAAATCTATCTGTGAGATACCCTCTTGAGGCTTCACTTAGTTCCCAGATAGGATTACACTCTCATTGCTCATACAAGGATGTGCAATGGTTTTATAAGACTTACAGAAAGGCTACAGGTTAGCCTCATTCAAGGCTCGTGAATTTGGAGTGATATTATTCTGTCAGCCTTGTTTGAAACTCATGAATCCTGAGTTGTTTTGATATTGTGACAGTTTTCTTCCCTGTATGTAGTTAGGATCTTCTTAATGCCATGTTTTTATTTTCCATTTGTTTTGTTATCCCGACCCTCATCAATGATTTCAAGAGATGCGGGGCAGAGGCTCTCAACCATAAAGATATTTGGGCTTCAGGTTTCATGCAAGCCTCATCTGAGAGATCCAAGCAATGAAAGAATCAAGAAAAGCATGATATATTCAACAATACATAATGCAGGCCCAACATCTGTTGTCATAAATGGATGGAAGGTGTGACTAAAGCTATAAAGTCTAGCAAACATAATAAATTACAGAAATAACAAGTGAATGAAATGAACATTGTGAACATTATTAAATTATACTGTAAACACGCTCACGGAGCTGATACATTGCCTACAATGTCTCCTTCAAGGCCCCGGCCAACTTCTCTGTTTTTATTGGCTGCAGGTCACAAATAAGGATAGCCTTTGTAAGTTCTAGGTCACTTCAGTCACCCCCAGGTCCCTGGCTCTTACAGTAGCTGGATTATTTAACTAATAGCCCCCAAATCAGTGGGATGTCCCAGTGTCTTTAGGATTATCCCAAATGGATTGGGACATCCCATAAATTTAGGGTGTCCTGTGGGACAATCACAACAACTGTCACATGTCATGGGTATCTGGGGTCTATATAAACAGCAATCAGCTTCTGAAGTAAGCAATGCTGTGGTATAGTAACTTTTGTTCTGTCAAAATTGGAACACTCAGTCCAAGTTTTTTGGAACTAAATATAATGTATCCATCCTCCCTCTTCTCAGATGCTTCTCACCTATTAGCAAAATCAGACTATAGGATGCTACATTATTCTTATTTATTGATTTATACAATTTTTGCCCAGTTACTGGCTTTTAAGTCTATAGCTCCTTATTTCCTGATTTGACAGCTATTGATTCAAGTTTTCAATTTTTATACAGGTCCAATTAGTCAAAAACTCATAGACACACTGCCTCCACACTCTATGCTTTTACTATTATATTGCTGTACCTCGCATGCTTGTAGCATAACACTTCTGCTGTTTTGCTGACTTCTGTGTTTCTCATGTTTGGGCAGAGGAATCTTGTATTGCTGGCTATATTTGCACAACCCATATTATTTGGAATCTGTGAGAATAATCAGATATAATATATATCAAGCAATTTTGAGCTTATATATATAATTCTTATTTGGTGCAGATTTTCACTGGCACAGAGTACTTGGAAATAATTATTTCCAGTGGAGCTGGTGGGAATCTTACACTAAATATAGCATACCCTTGACAACGGTTTATTTTTTACCATACTTATTGCTATATCTTTTGGTATGAATCTCAGAAAAGGCCTTCACAATCTATTGTTACTGTAGCTGGTTCTAATATTTATTCATTTTATATATCATCCAGTCACTGTTTTTTTTTACATTTCTCATCTGCTCGAAGCAGTTAGAGAGTAGGTTACTTTAAATTAAATAACATAGACTTTTTATGTTCAGCCACACTGCATGCTGCCACCTCAGTTCCAAAAAACTTGGACTAAGGTAAGTGTAACAACCAAGAGTTTGTTACTCTGGCACACAACTCAGACAAGCTATAGAGATAATGATGAGGGAGTGGTTACCCTTTAGGCTTCAACAAGTTAGTTGTGAGGATACAATAGGAGGACTCGCTGAAGAGTCTCCTGGATCTATTGAGGTATATATACTACTACAGGTTGTTTGTACATGTTGTACTATACAGTTGATAAAGCAGTGGCTGATGATGTCAGAGGACACAGCCCGTGTGACCAGCTCCACTGCGTGAGAGACTTGTAGCTAAAATATGAATAAAGGCAGTGCAGCGCAAGAAAAAGGAGTTTGAACAAAAGGGAAAGTGCCGCATGGCACAGGGTGTGAAAACTACAGTATAAAGTTAAAGAGGAGAATGAAAATTAAAGGTGCAAAAATTGTGTATCGTAACAGTAAGTAATATGCAATAGAACTATATTAGAATTTGTTTAGCTGATTACATCCTACTGCAGTGTTCCTATTTTCACAGGTTAGATATTAACCTACATTTGTTTTGGCAAACTTTCATCACATAGCTGTGGTAATTAATGGCTTGGTAGGAAGTGAGCTTGGAAACCCTGGGGGTAAGGCTACCTTGCAATTTGTATCAGGTGGATATAATTACTTTTAGCATTATGTTGAATTACTACTAAATATGGATAATATTCATCTAGAAAGAAGTGGAAATTGATGCCAAAGGTTGTGCATAGGGGCATGTAGGAGAAAATATTTTCTTTGTGAGTTTTAATTGCATGATTTTCCAGGTAGTAGGGCAGTAATGGGTGTTTAAGGTCTTAACACAGATTCACTGAGTTGACAATATTTTAGCTATTCATGTTATTATAAGCTGTTTTCCCTTCAACTACAATGGGTTTTTTTTGCATGTATCACATTATTTCCCTGGTAACAACACAGTAAGGTCACAGTAAGAAGCCCGCTTCTAGATAGGGATAAGATGGAGAATCCAAAGCTGGTGGGAGACCAGGTACACATGAATAGGCAGTTGCAACCAAATTCCAAATCATTATATCCTGAGAAGCTGTCAAAAAATGCTAAGCATGGCACTATTAAGCCTTGTCAAATCTTCTTAGAAATCTATAGGGACATCCCAACCTTTTCATAGGATGACCTACATGTTACATGAGTTGTTACAACAGTTTTTGGCGTCTATTTTCACTTTTATTTTACATTTACTGTTACAACCAAAGTTTGTATACTCTGGTGCACAAACAAGACAGGCAGAGAGGGTGAGTGGAGGAGAGGGTAATCTCCCTTAGGATAGGACCGAGTTTGTTATGGGTAAATAATAGGAGGACTCGCTGAGGAGTCTCCTTAATCTATTGGGGTATTTATACTACTACAGACTATTTGTTCATGTGTACTATACAGTTGATAAAGGCAAAGGCTGATGATGTCATAGGGCGCAGCCCGTGTGACTGGCTCCACTGCGTGAGAGACTTGTAGCTAAGAATAAAGAAAGACAGTGCAGCACGAGAAAATAGAGTTTGAACAAAATGGAAAGTGCCACATGGCACAGTGTGTGAAAACTATGAAAAAATGTTAAAGTGGAGAATGAAATTGTCCTTCCAAGCTTTCACCTATCAATATCCGACATGCCCAACATCTTATTACCTCTGGCAAAGCTGAAAATGCTGTTGAAGTGACCAAACCCTTTACCAGCATCATACACCAGCCCCTCCCATCCAATACTGTTTAGTCTCATTTGAAGAAATCTGGTATGAAGGCTGTGGTGAAGTCCAAACACCCCCTTTTCTCTACTAGGCGGCAATATAAAGCTTGTTTGGATTTTGCCTATGCGCACAAGGATTGGACTTTGGAGGACTAGAAAAGAGTAATATGGTCTAATGAGACTAAAATCAATTGCCTTGGGTCAGATGGATGCAAATGGGCATAGAAAGAGGCAGGTGAGGGCTTAGTGATAGGCTGGTAGATGGAACACTCAAGTTTGGAGGAGGTTCCTTAATGATGTGGGGCTGTATGACTTGGAAAGGAGTTATATTTGCTACCAAGATTGATGGTAGGATGGATGGGGACCTTTACCTACAGATTTTGAAGGATGAGTTCCAGGAAACCCTAGAATATTATGGTTTCAATGCTCCTAACAATATTTTTCAGCAAATCAATAACCCCAAGCACACCTGCAGGAAGGTCAAGGACTGGCTAGAGGAGCAAACATTTAACACTATGGTTTGGCCTGCACAGTCTCCTAACCTAAACCCTATTAAATGTCTCTGGGATTGTCTCAAAAGGAGGCTTTCAGTGTATGACAATCCCCACAATGAGATTCATGAATTGTGGGAAAGGACTAAAGTAGAGTGGGAGAAGATACCAGTTGAGGAGTGTCAGAAATTGATTGAAAACATGCCTAGAATGATTCAGGCAGTGCTTAGGGCAAAAGGAGGCTATACCAAGTACTGATAATATCCAAACACCCTTTTCAATTCAAAAGTGAAAAAAGCCCTTTCCATGGTGTTGCTGTTTTAAATTAACCATATCTCTATGGCATGTGAACCAAATCACATGACCCATGGGGCAATTTTATAGCCAAAATTATGTACTATTTATAATTCCACCAAAGCTAAATGTAATACTCAAGCTGTTTAATGGTATGCTTCATGCATAACACCCAGAGTAAACATGGAAAGGGTTTTTGGAGTTACTGTATATAGCTCAGCATCAATTGGTGTGGAGCCAGTGTTGTTTACGTATTTAAAACTTCTTTGAATACCTCTGACTGTTATGATACATACATTTTGGACTTACAGCTTTCTTTCTCTGTTTTAACTTTCTTTCTCAAAAGTTCACACACACTTGTGCTGTGTGGCGCTTTCTTTTTGTTCAGACTCTCACTTTCTTGCGCCGTGTGCTTTTCTTTATTTATAGCTACAAGTTTCTCATGCAGTGGAGCTGGTCATACTGGATGCACCCTATGATATCATCAGCCACTGCCTTATCAACTGTATAGTACAATATGTACAAATAACCTGTAGTGGTATAAAATACCTCAATAGATCCAGGAAACTCCTCAGCAAGTCCTCCTGTTGTATATCCACAACTAACTCAGTTCTCTCCTAAGGGGTTTACCCACTCCTCCATCAATCCTCTTGCTGGTCGTTGTGTGCATCAGAGTATAAAAAATGTCAGACCACACATCTGACTCCCTTAGCTTTACTGAGGCAGTCCGAGTCAGAGACTGAGTACAACTCTTTGAAGATGATCTTGAGGGACTGAAACATTTTCTGGTTGTCTTTGACATCCTTGGAGATGGATGGAATCATCTGACTGTGGTTGGTATGTACACAGCCAACTCTGTCAAGCATAGAAGGAGGGATATCAGATGGAGCTTCATAACCCTGTGAAGTGTCAGCAATAGCGAACATATTGTAAATAAACAACCCTACCTTGGTACAATGGCGATTGTACCATAACAAGTGGAGTGCTTGAAAGGTAGAGTCAGCATCAATGCGGGTGTTCGTCTCTGTCAATAGATCCACGGTCCCAAACACGGCTAGTAGGTTGTCTGTAAGAGAATTTTGTGTTTTTGCTGGAAGACTGGTGCGGATGAATGCCATTAATGTCTCATCAGAGTTGTGGATATCCACCAGGGAGCTTCAGACAAGTGAGTAATCAGCCATTGGAAATTTGTGAAAGACATACTTGGGAATAGCATCCATAGGGATACAAATGTATATGCCATCAGATATCTTCATTCCTTTTTTGTAGTGCCTGCGGAGCTGACAACAAATGGACCATTATATGTATTATAGTATCCTGAAGATGAATTACATACCTGTGATTGCAAATCATCTGCGTTATTAATTCTGTCGCCCTTTTCAGCATGCTCTTGTTTACACTCTGTCCAAACATTGTTGGCTTAATGATCATGATCAGCTCAAAAATGCTTATTTTGAGGCAGTAATTGGTCATAAGCGGTGTGTATGACTATCTTCTCCTTTTCAGCACCTTTTTGTTGAATAGTTAGGTGTGAAACTCATTCATCTTCACCGTCATTTTCTGAAGATTCCAGATAGTGTTGTGAATCTGATAGGAGGGCTGTAAGGTCTAGGCAGGAAAGATGCCATTTGTGCAAGAAGCTCGTAGCCAAGCTGATGGAGCGGGTTAGGCGGGTTAAGGCTGGCATCAACGGTTGTATCGTAACACCATGCCCAATGTTAAGTATTTCAATTGTGTAATGTAAACTTGCTGTGCATGAAAAAATCAGGGAATGATGGAATGCAAGAATGAATGAGTGACTTACTTCAAAATCACAGAGTCAAAAAATCCGTTGGAGGATGCAATGTCAGTGCAATCAAACTGCCAAGAAATGTGGTGTTCTGAAAGCATTGATGGGGAGAATATTGAGGCCATATTGATATTGATTGGAAACAGATGGTGCATATGACTAATAGTGGGTATGATACAATCTATAACCAGATCACCCTTCACAGTTCCTAACTGTAATATTAGCCAAACAATATCCTTTGCCATAGTACAGGTCATACTCACTAAGAATGGGAGATTGTAGAAGGTTGGCCAAGTCCCATAGCAGGGTGCCCTCCATTCTGGAGATGGATACCCTGAGACCAAGTCCTGCCACCAGAATCAGTATACCCGCCTCCAGAAATCACAGCAAATTTACTGCCAATTGAATGCCAGCCATGAAAAGTTCGTTTGCTGGGCTGGGGACATGTGCAACTTCTGCATTGTAGATACCGTTGAGAGACTGTTGGGTACAGAGTTTAATGCTAGAGAAAGTGTAGCATACTAGATCAAATTCATCAGATGCTAACAGATATCAAAATGACTCACCTCTGACATTTTGTCACCAGCTGCATGTAGTTTATCATCAACAGGAAGTTGACACCAATGTCCTTCCCATTAATACCTCTATAAGGTCTCATCCAGATACTCACTCCCCTCTATTGCCAACTTTACACTATCAATCTAAATACTGGGGTTATGAATGTCCAAGTCCCAGTGAGCAGACACCAAAGTTGTGATGATGGCATTGATATTTGTGCCAGAGTTGAGCCAAGGATTGGCTCATCTTCTCCAAACACCACCACCATCTCTCCTTGACAAGGCAAATGAGACACCCCCCCTTGGACACGGCTGTTTGGACTTGGCAGGTTCATTACATCCCCCACCATTTTTGCAAAGGTGACATTGTAACAACCAAGAGTTAGTTATTCTGGCGCACAACTCAGACATAAATATTCGGAGGTATTGTTTCAATTCCTGATTGAGCCTCTCCGTTTGTCCATCAGTCTACGGATGGAACACCGTTGATAATTTAGGTTTAATGCCCAGCATCCAGCATAACTCTTTTGTAAATATGCTAGTGAATTGTGGTCCTCTATTGGAGATAACTGTTTCTGGCAATCCATGGATAGACCATACAAAATCTTTAAATAAATCTGCCGTACCGGCGGCGGTAATAGTTTTGTTGGTGGGAATGAACACTACTTCTTTGGAGAACAATCTACCACCGCCATTACTGAATCATACCCATTTGATTCAGGTAGATCCGTTGTGAAATCAACCAATATAACCTACTAAGGACCAGCTGGTATTGGATTTGGCATAAGTTTACCGGCCGGCGGTTGATGTGAATTCTTTGCCATGGCACATCTCAGACAGGATCTTATGTATTCCTGTACGTCTTTGACCATGCCAGGCCACATGTAGTTTCTGGAGATCAACTCCATTGTTTGTTGCCATCCAGGGTGCCCAGCCACTGGAGTGTCATGATGTCTGTCTATTGCCTTGATCCTTGCGGACTCCAGCACATAGATTTTGTCTTTAAAACGGAAGAGCCCATCTTCCCATAAATAGTTTTCATTGCGGTTAAGGTGCGCCTTCTCTTCTGAGGAGATGTCTTTCTTGAAGACTTCCAGAAGATCGGAATCCTGCCCAATTTGAACATTGGCAACCCTGGATTGGTCTATCAGGGTGACACCCTTGTTGTCATCTTCGATGCCATTGGCATAATCCTCTCTTCTGGATAAAATGTCTGTTTTCCCCATAGAACTTCCAGGCTTATGAATTAATTTATGATTAAACCTAGACAAGTACACCGCATAGCGGACCTGTCTTTGTTTTAAGTCTCGGGCCGTCATAAGATACTCCAGATTTTTATGATCAGTCCAAATTTTGAATTGGTGCCTAGCACCTTCTAAATAGTGTCGCCAGTGCTCTAAAGCTCTAATGATGGCCAGCATCTCCTTGTTGTAAATTTGATAGTTGCGCTCTGTAGGCGACAAACTATGTGATAAATAGGCACAAGGCCTCCAAATATCATCAAGTCATTTAATTGATAGAACAGCCCCAGTAGCAAAATCAGAAGGGTCGGTTTCTAGCCGGAACTCTTTGTCTAATTCTGGAAATGCTAATATGGGTGCCGTTGTAAACACCTGTTTGAGCTTATCAAAAGCTTCTTGTTCTTTAGTGCCCCAATGCCAAATAATATCATTTTTAGTGAGATCATTCAACAGTCTCGTTATCTTTGCAAAGTTTTCAACAAATCTTCAGTAGAAATTGCTTAAGCCAAGAAAGGCCCTAACTCCTTTGACGTGAGTAGGTTCTGGCCAATCCAATATAGCTTGAACTTTCTCAGGATCCATCCTGATTCCATTTTGGCCAATTATCATACCAAGGAAGTCTACTTCCTTTACTTTAAAGTTACATTTTTTGGGTTTGACAAATAGGTCCCGTTCCTGTAAGTGTCGAAGGACTTCTTGCACGATCCTGTCATGCTCAGCCTCATCGTCCGACTTTGTGAATATTAATAAATTGTCAATGTAAATGATGACATAGTTTTCCATATCCGCAAAGGTCTCATTCATCATGCTCTGGAAGGTCGCCGGTGAATTGGTCAACGCAAAGAACATGAGAGGCTCAGAGGGTCCTTGGTGGCATGTGAACGCGGCCTTCCAAGCATCTGCTTCTTTGATTTGTACATTATTGTACCCCCATCTAAGATCCATCTTTGTTAAGATTTTGGCACCAGCCAACTTGTCTACTAGCTGACTGATCAAAGGCAGCGGATATGTGTTTTTAACCGTGTACTCATTCAAGTAACGATAGTCCATAGTCATATGCTTTTTACCATCCTTTTTAGGAATGAAGAACATCGGGGACGTCATAGGGCTTTTGGAAGGTCTGATGTAACCCTTCCTAAGCTGTTCATCTATGAAACTTGATACCTCATCTCTTTCTGGAGCAGAGAGTGGTATTATATGTCTTTTTCTCGGTTTTAAAGTGTCCTTCAAATCTATAGCATGGTTCCAAGGCTTAGCCTCTAGGAAGCGCTCTGATATATGTTTAGAAAAGACTTTCCAGAAGTCATGGTACTTGGGAGGTACCAGCCTCTTAATCTCTTCTTTGGGTTTTACCTCGTCATCATCATTGTCAATCTTTTCTAAAGATCTAAGCTTGGCATAAATGTGACCAGCATTTATTCTTTCATTAAGCTCAGTTTGATGGACATGACTTGGCTTCCCTAAGTCATCACACTCCTGAGGGCAACATGACAATGTGACAACCTCTGTCTGCCAGTTGATCTCAGGATTGTGTTTAAATAGCCAGGTCCAGCCTAAGATTAAATTAATCTTCCCTAGTTGGGTAGCTTCAGCAGTGACTCATTCTCTGTGTCCTTGGTACTTGACAATAAAGGTATAGCTACTATAGCTACTCTAGATCACACTGATTGGGCCTGCAATGTAATGATATGACCGCCAGCGCTGCTCTTTGAGTTCCCGGTAACAAGGTCTGGAGGCCACATCTCAAAGAACATCATGGACACAGTAACCAAGGGTATGGCATGACTAAAAGAAGATATGAAGTCTTGCCCAGTGTCCCCGGAAAAGGTGGTAATCAAAACACCTGTCGGTTGAACTAGGCGTAATCAATGCAAGGCTGTCAAATCTGATGAGGAAGACAATAATGATGGAGGTAAGATTGCAGAGATCCATGCCTGAGATAAGCACTTAGAGGATAATAATTACACCAAAAACCCTCCATGGCCCATTCTAGGAGTACATCCAGTGTAAGTAATTTCTTGGGTTGTCTCTGATAAATTTGACTTTAGATATGTGTCCACAACAACTTTAAACAGCTTCTCAAAATCAAGTTACTCAAATGCAAACAGCTTGCAAAGTTACCCCCTCCTCTGACAGATATTGAGATAGCCAAATTCAAAAACAGGGACAAAGTGTTACAATACACAATTTTTGGACCTTTAAACTTCATTCTCCACTTTAACTTTCTTCCATAGTTTTCACACACTGTGCTATGCGGCACTTTCAATTTTTGTTCAAACTCCACTTTCTCTTGCTGCGCTGCTTTTCTTTATTCTTAGCTATAAGTCTTTCACGCAGTGGAGCTGGTCACATGGGCTGTGCCCTATGACATCATCAGCCACTGCCTTCATCAACTGTATAGTACACATGTACAAACAAACCTGTAGATGTATATAAACCCTGATAAATCAAGGAGACTCCTTAGCGAGTCTTCCTATTGTTTACCCACAACTAACTTGGTCCTATCATAAGGGGTAACCACTCCCACTCACTTCACTGTAGCTTGTCTAAGTTGTGCACCAAAGTATACAAACCCTTGGTTGTTACATTAAATGTCTGTACCAATTGTCTGCAAGGCTGCCTGCAGCTAAGTGCAACCCAAACTGGTCTATTTTGTGGGTGTCAGTCTAGTTATCTTGAAATGTGAGCTGGTATTGATGAACCCAAGTAGTAGGTTCTTTTTTATCTTGATAGTCGCCAAACAACAGTTCCAGCTGTTTCAAAGTTGAAGTCATTGTGGGCTGTGGTTGTACGAAAGGGTTGGGATTGATGGGTCTGGTGAATGGGTTCTTGATTCATGAAATTGTTGTTGGGGTGTTTGTTTGGAGATATTGTAAGTGAGTTTGATGATGGGAGGTTATAAGATGTTGTCTATGGGAGAATATCAGAGAGGGGAAAAACTAATGCCCTTGGATTGGGCTTTGTTATCTGTTGTATCAGACATCGTGAGAGTCAACTAATGGAGCTTTGAGTGATTTTCCCGTTGACGAGAGCTGAAACTTGCTTGGGATATCCCTATTGTCACCAAATAAAGTGGTGACAACCTGACTAAGCCTGGAAGTGAGTGCCAACTGCCTGAGTGACTGCACCAAGACCTGGGAAAGCCAGGATGTCCTGAGACTGTGTATATGTATAGTCTGGGGTGTACATAAGGTTGCAATGCATCCTTGTGCTGCTCATGGCAGGACCCTGGCCACTTCTGCTTGAGATCCCTCTCTTCCTACTTCAGCGTGCTGGAATGGGAATGGATGATCCTTAACACAAAGTCAGCCTTCCATCATCTCAGACATAGTCATCTCTGGTAGAACATGCTTGAGGTTTCCTCGGGCCCTCAAAACACTTTGTTGACAGGTTGAAAGTTGTGCAGTGTGAATTACATCTGCATATAATCACCTGTTTCAGAGGTCTGCAATACTTGGAAGACATTCAGGCCAGTGGGGAGGTCAAGGAACAAACTGATAGTGCTGACCCTAGGCCTACATGTATGTTTCATATACATACATTCAGGTATCACAAGACAATGAAATGGCAGCCTTGAGGCATCTTGACTCACGCAGGAATGAAATGAGCCAACCTTGTGCACATAATACTCTTGGTTAGAGAGATCAATAAGCGATAGAAATCTTGATATTACTTACCCTGCGCTATGCCTGGCATACATGTTTTTCCTAGTAAAATTGATAGCTGGATATTACTCTCTTGGTTGCAGGAACTTCTATATAGAACATGTAATGAAACTATTATGATTGCACATGTACAAGAGAAGACTGTTTTATAAAGAGAAGAGAAGCTATATCCTGCTTAATGAACTCCAAACTGGCGGAATTAATGATTCCCTGGATAAGCCGGATGGAAAAATATCCTTGATGTCAAGAACCTATCAACAAATACTGTGAAGTGGTCTTTGACAGAGTGAGGTATTAAATCTTACTGTAGAATATGGGGATCATGCATAAAATCAAACTCCTCCTCTTTAGGATTGATCATAAACTGTAAGTCTGTCTCACCTCACATTGAGAGCCGTTCACTGCGGTAAGTGTTGATAGGAAGGCCTGGCACAAATGCGATGCTGGGGCTATACTCAGCTTGAGAATTCCACAGATAAGGCCAAGCACCCTGTTTATCCCATGCAAACTTCTGGCAAATGGAATGAATCACATCAAAAGTCCTCAACCACATTATACCAATGGGGGCACAAAACTAGGGCTCCAAGACTTTAAAATGTTGATGACCGTTAAACTGTCCTTCCTCCAACTCATTGCTCAAAATTCCATCAGGGCCAGGCTCTTGAAGCATACCTGGATGGCGGTCAAAAGTGCCACTGAATATGCTGTTTGTGGCAATGTCCAAATACCTATGAAAAAGCTTCAACACCGCATTAGTATATCAACTATTCACTGAGGAGCAACAACTCACAGAATATTTACATTGTTTGCGGTTCTCCTGCTCACTACACAGCTTTTGCACTGTAGCAGGCTTGGATTGTTTCTGTCTTTTGGCCTTGAGCCCCTTGATGTGTATGTGGAAGTGGTCAATTACAGATTGTAAGGCTGTATGTGTCTTATTGATGCCGTGAAACACTACAAAGTTATCCGCAAAAACCCGTACAGCTGACTTGTTCCACAAGCTCCTGGAACCAAGAGAATATCAATGCAGAAATTGCTGGCCGTGCAGCAAGAGATGCATTCAATCCTTCTCTTTTGACAGGTGCTCTACATTTGAGCAAAGGCTTCTAACTCCTGTATAGTCACGGATGGAACATAGACTTTGGTCTGGCCGGCCAGATGTATAACATGAGCTGCTACCGCATGCTGTAGAAAGATTATCAATATTGATATTTACGCAAAGATATACATACCACCATCCTCTTTAACAAGTCTAGACAACGCACAGGATGCCCTGATAACTTAATGATTGGTTGGTGAATGGGAGCAATTGTATTACCTTTGCACATTTGCAGTTGATTATTGTTCACAATTGCATCTTTGCACTCTGCTACCAACTTTTGCAATCCTTGCATAAGTTTGAATAAGTTGTGTAAATCTTGACCTTGATAATGTGCTGGACCTGACTGAATGTGGCTTGTAGGAATATCCCCCAGCAGATTGGCATCAGCACCCTCCAACAACACACAGAGAGGGTGATCACTGACATTTTGCACTAGTTCTGCATCACCACAGTCTTCCTTTGATATTTTTGCCGTGTTCTCGCCAATTAACTCTATTTCCATATTGGCACTTAGATACATGCCTTCAATCAAAGAGTTGTCTTTGCCATCAAGATGGTCCTCAGTTTTCTTACTGCAGGCATCCACTGGGGAAGATTCCATGCAGACAGGCTGCTCGCTGCTTGCAGATGGTACCTGGTCCATATGAGGGGACTTCCGGCTGACTTTGATGTACTGAGGGTATCTAGACCTAGGTTGGAGTGAGAGACCACACTCCACCCTTGCATCATTGTGAAAGACTACTATTGTTATTGTTGTACTGTATATGCGGTGGGCCAAGAGTTGGTGCCATAGGGCTTCAGAAGGGGCGTGGCAGATATTTAGTGGGAGGGGAGCAGTTGTAATTTTGTTGAGTAGGTGTTTGTTTGGGGTCCACCAATAGAGGATTTATGGTGATGGCTTATGGGAGTAACTCTAGAGATTGTGCCGTTGTAGTGTGTCTGGGAATCGGCCTTGGTAGGATGGATATCAGGAAAAACCTAGTTTCCTTTTATAGCTATCATAGCTGTCATAGTGCTATATAGGGAAAATAGTAGCTATAGTATGCCTAGACAAGTCCCTATTATATAGCTCTATATAGCAGGGCTATTTTGAGATGTTTGCTATACCAGCTATAGTATCACAGAAGTGATATATACAATCCATCTCTACTATGGCTGCGCTCATAGAATATAATAGATATAACAACCATCAATGGTTATTTCAAAATGGTCATATTATATATGTTCCACAAGCTTATCATAGTTTTCAAATTCTTTCAGTTTTGTTCACTATTATTATAGTTTCCATACTCTCTCAGTTTTATTTACTATTATTATAGCATCCTAGCCAGAGATCATATGCAGAGAGTCTATTATAGTATATTTCTGATACCATATAATGACATACATGTATCAACAATTATAAGGATGCTGAATCTACAAGCACTGCATAATCAACCTCATCCTCCCAGTAGTTGTCCTCTTGTGCATTCGGGTACTGTGGGTGACGCTGTTGGCTGTGTGTGGTGTAGTGCTTGTGAGTGTTGTTCTAAAATAATTTGGTAGGCTACTCACAGAATATTGTTGTAAGTGTTTTACAAAACTGCAAAAACCACCTAGGAGCCTTCCTTTGTAGCTCTTCTAACCTGGACAGATAATATAAATATCTGATAAACACTTGTGAGTAAAGGTAGAGTTGATATTGAATTTACCTGGGCCTGTAGACCTGTTCAGAAAATTCAAGGTGGTGCGAACACCTTTTGCAAGTTCATGAAGACAGTTTTCGACCTGTGAAATATAGAGTGAGGAAAAATCATGTATATTACATTACAAACTCACAGCTGTAACAGCCAAGGCAATTAATGGCAAAGGTGAGTCTTTGAAATCACTTGGATAGAGGACACCCTCCCCCTTCTTATGGAACCACTGAACCTGAACTAGTAGCTTGATGATGCAATGTCCAAAAGGTTTTTGCTTATCATATGATTAAGTCTGAAATACATAGTCATAAAATGTTTAAGAAGAGTACATATGAACACTTACAGAAACATCCAAACCACCAAATGTAAAGACACCTTTTCCATTACTCAACAACCACTCCATTATAGTATGTACTTCCTCTGGAAGCTTGTTTTTGAGGGTGTATTCTGAGAGAATGAGTATCCTAGCCTTTTGTTTGACTTCACCTCTAAGCTGAGCTGCAGCCGTCCACACCTGTTTAAAATTTTAATATTAGTAATATTGGAAGCATTGTTCTCACTCACATAATCAATGAGTCTACTTTTTTTCTGCTCGTTCCTTGCATTCTCCAAATCTACTATGGTAGTCTTGCATAGTGAAGAACAACTTGCAACTTTGATGATCACATTCTAAACAGGTTCATCTCATTCATCAGTACCTGGGAAGCCTTTCACAGTAGAAAGAATGACACACATTTGAGAATGTCCTGCTTTAGCCAGCCTGGAGCTGGTGGGGCTAAAGCTAGTGATGACGGCCTGTGTAGAATATAAGCCTTATAATCTTTAAACATATTGCACACTTACCTTGGAATCTCTGGAAGGTGTTAATGAAGGAGAACTATTGCTATTCCTTTTACGCTTATTGTTAACCAACCGGACACTTTCAGCTGGTGATGCAGTAATCTGTATCTGTATATGTGGATCAGTGAACTAGAAAAAAAAGGTAAAACTCACATCAGTATGCAATGATGACACTATTTGTTCATAGCAAGGATTGTCCAGCTCCTGGGTCAATGAAGGTCAGAGAGTAACTTGCTGTGAGCTTTCTTCTGATGATGTTGCATTAGTAAAGCTTATAGCTAAGGTTGAGTTACTTGCCTGTCAAGCATCTAAAGGTCTGCATAATAAATCTATGTGAAACTCAGCCGCTGCCCAAGAGGCTATAGAAACGACTATATTATTTACCTATGTGAAACTACAATTGATGTTAGTTTAAGGTGATCTCTAATAAATGTAATGTAACATACCTCAGCCGCTGCCCAAGAGGCTATAGAAATGACTGAGGTATTTCTATACTAAGCCCCCTACTACTTATAGTCGGAGGTGCTACTCGCTACAGTATAATGACTCCTAGGATTACAATTGTGCTCCTAGGAGAACAATGGTGACTCCATGGAGTGGTGGCTACGCTCCATGGAGAACAATGGCTGCTTTGGCAGAGACCGGGTTTATCCGGTTTTGTCACTGCATCAGAGCATCTTCATCTTCTAGTTCCTCTTCCATGCTATTCCTGGCTCTTTTATGAAGAGGTTCATCTTCACTATCAACGTCAGGCCTATTCTAGTCTCCTTCTTCCTCATCATCCTCAGCCTCCACCATGTGAGCTGCTTTCTGACAAATATCTGGGAAGTGTACTATGTAATAGACATGATACATAACACATATTAAATGACTCACCTGCTAGCCTGTCAGCATTTGCATCCTTTCCAGATGCTTGCAACTTCTTCATCAGTTGGCTGTATAAGATTTCTTCATCTTGTGTAAGCCCATCAGAAGAGTTTGATGTCCCTTGAGCCCTGGAATGTTTAGTTAAAGGCTTCTTGGACTTACTCCCCTGAGTTTTGTTCTGTCCAGATCTTGTCCTAGCAGCCATCACCAAAATAGTAGACAGAGACAGAGGTAAAAATATAAAAAATGAGGAATTAGCAAACAGTGGAACATTTCATCCCTCACACCTTTCAACTTTCTTCTCAAAAGTGATACAACAAACAAATATACACTAGTACAATTAGTGACAAACTCTGGATCAAACAATTGGTAAACATCTAAGAGTATCAAGGTCAAAAAAACAAAATGCAGTACAAAGTCCATGGTTATCAATGTAAAGAAGAATGACCAGCCCATCCATTTTGCCCATTCCTCCAATTATCCATCTCCTTGTCAGTTTGCAAGACAATTGAGCCCCTCTGCCCTCTGAAGTGCAAGTTAAAATGAGTTATATCACATGAGCGAAAGAGCACAATATCCCCCTCTCTCATCTATAACACCAGGCCAGGCTCAACAAGGCAAAGCTCTCCCCCTTCATGCTTACCCAGTGGTATGACTAGACAAAAGAGTTGGTCCTTGGCATCCCTGTGAGCCTTGGTTGAAACATTGATATTGACCACAAGACCTAAGAATGGGCAGACAGCAGAGGCATTGTTACCAGGGAGTAACTCAGCATGTTGTCTGAGTACCAAATATTCAGCAGGTAGATAAGTAGCAAGCTACATCAATGGTATCAGCAGATTATCCTGTAAATTAATCAGAAACAATATCACTCACTATTTCATTTATCCATTCAAAAAGATCAGCAAATACTGTTTTAAGTCTCTGGTCAATGTCAGCGTGGTCTTGAATCTCCTTGGACGTATAGGGGATAAGCTGCAAATAATTTGTTCTCGAGGCATACTTTCTCTTCATCATCAAAGGGGGAATATCATTGGGTGCGTCATTTCCCTTCATTGATTCAGCATAGTTTGTAAATGGAAAAAAAAAAGAGCTCACTTTTGTACAATGGCGGTTGTACCAAGAGAAATGTAGAGCTTCAAATGTGAAGCCTTCACCTTCAACAGCTGAGTCTACATGATGTAGAGATGTGCTCAAACCGTTTCTTAGACGGCTTAGGCTGAGGGAGATCCCTTCAAAGGTTTGCCAGGGAGATACCTTGCTGAGAGCGAAGACTAGCATACAAACATAAACATCAGAAAAAAATGATAATTATTCGTAACAATTTTTTTACTTACCTTTGGGACTTGGCAACGAGCTGGATGTAGCTGATCATCAGCAAAAAGTTGACACCTATGGTCAGACTGTCCATTCTTTCATGGCTCATTGGGTATTCATCATTGCAATCATATACGGTGAGTGCTGATACTGAGGTGGAATGAACAGAGACTTACTATTTTTCTCATAGTGATTATCGGCTTTTTGCAATAGCAACCTGTTGATTCCATGCAGTGTGAGAAAAGAGATCAGCTGTTGTCCCCTTTCTCATACTGCATGGAACAATGCAACTGCACACGTCCAACTATGGATGTGGGCGGCTCTCCGCTTATCATCTTTTGAATCATTCTCTTCCTTGCCCGCCCGCTTACACCTACATATTGGTGCAAATATTTAGATATGAAGTGAGTTTCATGGGTTTTTTTTAACTACTTACTTGGTTGGCTGAGTACTGAGACATATTTCAGCAGAACATCCCATTCTCAGTCTGCAAAAACGCACCTGTCCCCCATGTACACAATATCCTCCACTTCCACTGTAAATGGTGCTACCTACTGGTATACCCCCCCTATTACTCGGTCAAAGTCCTCTCCTGGACCAGAGGGTAAGTCAGTTATTTAATTTCAAAAATTACCTGATGGCAATGCACAGCTACTCAACAACAATATTTTGCCACTCCCCCGAGTAATCTATCAACATCCACTCTTTCAACGTCCACCCATACTGCACCAATCACTACATCTGAGGATCAAGTCCAGCCCATCATTAAGCAAATTGTTAGGCACTTGAAGTATAATTCTCAGGACGTATATGTCCAGGTGAGAAATCATTGTCTGGCTACATTCCTGATCTGATTTTTCCCCCTAGCAATTCTATATCGAACCATCAAGTTTCCCTGAGTTTGTGGACAAGCTCAGAGAAAGTGACTACAGCACTCTAAGGTATGCTTTTTTGTGAGTGAATATACTGTACTTATGTCCTTACTTCCAGATATATGTATGACCATGTGAAAGGCATCTTGCAACTGAGCATGCCTACTCCTGTACATGAAGTTTTCATTGAGCGCCTCAGTGAACTTTTACAGGGGCAACTGTCAGGCCTTATCAGACGGTCAGATGGGAAGTTCAAGTTGAGTTCTAATACATCCAAGTTCCTCTGGCAAGGTCAAATCACCACTGTACCCGACTTAGCCCTCAAGTTCCAAAGCCTCAACCCTAGCACTGAGTGGCAGGACTTGTTCATTGTCGAGGTCTCCCACTCCCAATCGCTTGGGGATGTCACCCAGAAGGTGAAAAAGTACTGGGAGGAGTTCCCCCACCTTGTTGGCATTCTAGTGGTCAAATTCTACGAGTCCCACAAATACGCAAAGCCCCAATATGGGTACGCTGAACCCATCAACATGCAGTATTGGTACAACTTACAAAAGGATGACAATATCAAATATGGCCCTCTGAGGACAGCTGACGGCGTAACATTGGCGGGTAGATTTGTGGTGGATATGTACCTGTATGAAAAGGACCCAAAGGTTGTAGGGAAGGAGGGCTATGCACGGAATCTTCCTACGCCCGTAGTACTGGTGCGTCCCCTCTTGATCACAACCTTCTTTGACTCATATAATATATGTACAAAGGGTGGTACCTAATATAGATGTGGGCCAACTCTATCCCACTCAAGCCCAGAAAGACGAATTCAACAAAGTTTTCAATTGTGTTATTACCAGGTCAATTATGGAGACAGAGAAGATTATGAGGAGTGCACCCCAGACTGTCACTAACCTAGAAGCTGAAAGTGCAGCTGCTCAGATAGCAGCGCTAGAGGTTGCTACCCAGAATTTGATAGAAAACCGCACTGGTCGTCCTCTTCAGACTGGTACCCATTTGAGCACGCCCACTACTATTCTACCTACTCCCCATTTGCACCCCCAAGTATTGCCTAAAGGGATATCTCCCGTTGATCTCTCAGTCTTCAATATCCAGCTAGATTTTGACGATTTTCTTCAGGCTTTTCAAGGATCTGTAGCTGATCTGGCACATAGACATTTTCAGGATCATTATAATACCCCCCAAAGTTGTGCTAAGGCAGCTAGGAGAAAGAGTCCTTTTCACTCTGAAGAAGAAGTGGGTCGGCTTGTTTGACAGAAATTGGGGGTAGGTAGCTCCAGCAACAATGTCACAAGGAGGAAGTGAAAAACAGACATGGACAACATTATATGTATTACTTCTCTTGTTCTTGTACTCTGTGCGTGTAAACAATATTGTACTTAGACATGTACGACTTCTATTTGTATTAGAACAAGTAAATTCTATGTTTTACCACTAAGTATTTTCAATTTGGGATATTGCCGGTGCAGATTGAGGTGTTACGTCTTGACAGCATATTTAAAAATGGGTCCTAGATAATCAAAGGTATCAATTTCATATTAACTGGTGTTATTATTTCATAAATTGACTGGATGTGTATGGTGTAATATAGGTTCAAGGAAAAAATGGCACACGTACCAAGTATGGTTGATCGCACATGTCCTGCATGTGGAAAACTTTTGAAAACACCACAAGGTGTCATGGCTCACCTATCAATGTCAGCAATGTGTGCTTTGTATAGGAAATGAAAGAGAAGAGAACTTGAGGCAGACAACCTAAGCCCTGAACAAGTAGTATTTGATGAAGTCAACTTAGATGAAAATGTTTACGACCAAGAAGATTATGACTCAGATGGGTCAGAAGATATATTCCTCAACAGCTTACAAGAACCATTTAACAATTTCCTGAATAATCCTGCAATGCAAGGCAACACCCAGGATAACTTGAACCCTGACCCAGAGATACAGGCTAGCAGTTCACGTCACCCCCATTCCCTGCACTTTAATCTGGATGACAATGATGATGATGATGAAAGAGTAGTGGAACAAAATGAGAATGCTGGCAAGGTTATAAGGGTGGATCTGGATGCTCATAATAAATGGAGGGAGAGTTTTCACCAGTTCCATCAAGATGACGATGAAATGGACGTTGATCTTCCAGATAATAGATGGGCTCCATTTTCAACAGAATTAGACTGTAAATTTGCACATTTGGCATTGCAGGAGGGGGTTGGCCAGAAATCTCTTGACAGATTACTGGCAATTCCTGAAGTGAGTGACGTCTCCACACTTTGATTCATGTTTTATGTTAACTGACCTCCAACCTTTACACCAGCTTTCCCAGAGACTGGGCCTTTCTTATCAAAATAGCAGAAGCCTTCTAAAGAAAAACACCTTATACAATATAGAGACCCCTTACAAGCCATTGTGTCTTTGTTGGGCAATCCAGCACATGCAACAGACATAGTCTATAAACCCTCAAGAATATTCACAAACAGCAACAGGGATGATCATATATTTAATGAGATGTGGACTGGCAAATGGTGGCATTCTGTACAGGTTAATATATTCACGCCAGTGGTTGTTTTCTAAATTTCATACTTATTTCTTTGATTTTAGGCTCTTCTACCTCAGGGAGAATCTGTTGCTCCTGTTATAATAGCGACAGACAAAACTTGGTTGACTCAGTTCTCAGGCGACAAGTCTGCATATCCAGTGTATCTTACACTAGGCAATATACCCAGCCCTATTAGGCGCAAACCCTCTCAGCACGCTTGTGTACTTATTGGATATCTGTCTGTCAATAAATTGGTGAAAAAAGGCTTGACAACGGAGGAGAAGACAGCACGTGTTCAAAGACTTTTCCATGCCTCAGTATGGACAATTTTGGAGCCACTTATTGAGGCTGGACATAAAGGAATGGAGGTTACAGGTGGAGATGGTGCAGTGAGAAAAATTCACCCTATTCTTGCTTGCTATGTTGCCGACTATCCTGAGCAATGTCTGGTGACTTGCTCAAAGTATGGAACATGTCCCAAGTGCAGGCATCCAGCAACAGACCTTGAAAATAAAGCAGCTGGGGAACTACTATAGAAGTTGTTGATTCACGCTTTCTGGATACCTCAGTCCTCGTACAAGAGACTGAGGTAAGTTTATACATACATATATACTCTTGTATTTACTGAAAGCTACTACCTAGTATCACTTTGTTACAGATACAAAAACTACAGGTTATGAGTCCTACAAACTTTTCGGAAATAACACTAGCTGCTGGAGGTGTCACCACAGCAAGTGTCCCAAAACTAAAAGACGACAGTAGTAATTGGGGAGCCTACAAGACTAGAATGCTAGCCAGCGTGGCAGCTTGTGGCTTAATGAGATACCTTAGTGGTACAGCCAGACCCCCAAGGCCACTTAAGCTCAATACTGATGGAGCGCCTGTAAAACCCAACGGATCACTGGCTGACGAAGACGATGTTGAGGAGTACGAGATGAAAGTCAATTCTCACATCCAAAAGCACACCATAGTGATGCAACAAATGGTTGCATCTATGTCAGACATGATGCTTGCCAGAACACAAGCAAGCGGGAAAGCAAACACTGCTGCAGGAATGTGGGAAGAACTCTGTCGGTATCATGAGCACAAAAGCAAAATTGTTCAAGTGGACATGCGTCAAAAACTCCAAGACTTACGATGCACCGACAAAACTGATATCAGGACCCATCTTGGCGAAATGATAAAATTGAGAGCCGAACTGGCAGGCATAGGCGCTTCGGTAGACAACTGGGACTTCTCAGCCATGATCCTATCATCGCTACTAGAATCTTACTGCCCCATCCTCACATCCATGATAACCGCTGCTCGAATCTCTTGGAATACCCTCTCTCCCAAAGACATAATTGGCCACCTCATAGATGAGGCGGATCACTGAAAAACTGTTGAAGCTGCAAAGAAACAAGAAGGAGAATCAGCATTAACGGCCAAAACAAAAGATAAAAAGAAGGGCCCTACTTGCTATAACTGTGGCAAAATAGGCCATATTGCTCGGAACTGCCGAAAACTGAAGAAAGAAAAGATAGAAAATGGCAATCAGAAAAAAGACAAAGAAAAGGCTGAAAAACATACCAAAAAGAAAGAAACAGCTGTTGTAGCAGCAACTGTAGAATCGTCAGACAACGAAATATACGCCTTTTCTGTATCCGTGAACGAAGCTCCAACCTCAATTGATGAGGATGAGACATGGGCTTGCAGACCGTTCAGCGCCATAGTAGACTGTGGGGCTAGTAGGCATTTTTGTCCGTATTGGGATTTATTCACGGACTATAGAGATATAAGTCCGAAACCAATTCACACTGCAGGCGGACCCCCGCTATATGCAACTGGACAAGGGAACATAACCCTAAGACTCCCAAATGGATCCAAACAAACAACAACAACGCTGAAAGACGCGCTATATGTCACCCAAATGTCAAAGATCCTAATATCGGCCAGCTGAATGGATAAGGCGGGATATGTGATACATGTAGAAAACTGTTTCTGTTGAATCCTATCCCCAGAGCCAAACTGTTGTCCTATAGCGAAGATACCTGTGAAAGCAGGATTATACCAAATCATAGAAGACCCCCCGTCGAAAGACCACCATGCCAATACAGCGACAAAGATGACTATAGACCAACTCCACCACTGCTTAGGTCATATAGCGACTAAATCAGCCAGAGACTTAATAACGTCAAACATGGTCAAGGGCATAGAAATCAACGAAACATCAGAAGAACACTTCTGTGACGCATGTGCAAGAGCCAAAGCAGACCAAAAACCTTTCCCTAGCGAATCACATAATTGTTTGACCAAATACGGCGAAAAAATCCATACGGACCTGTGGGGCCCAGCATCAGTACAAGATATAAGTGGGAAGAAATATATGCTCACACTTACTGATGACTTCTCCAGGGAAAGCCACATTTGCCTACTGGCAACCAAAGATGAAGCCCTAAAATACTACATGCATTTTGAGGCCTGGCTAGCGACACAAAAAGATGGCACTAAAATAAAGAAATTGAGATCAGATTGAGGAGGGGAATACCTCAGTAACAAATTCAACACTCACCTGAAGAAGCAGGGAACTGAGAGAGAACTCACAGTTCATGACTCCCCACAACAGAACGGAGTTGCTGAATGCCTCAACAGAACAATTGTTGAACATGCCAGAGCAATGCTAATCCAAGCAAAACTCCCAAAGTATCTATGGGGCAAAGCCGTCAGACACGCTAATTGGATACAAAATTGATCACCTACTCGTGCCCTGAAAGACAAAACTCCGCACGAAGTTGCTCACGGCAACAAACCTGACTTATTGAATCTTCATGAATTCGGAGCCATCGTCTATGTACAGTTAGAAGAACCAGACAAGTTGGGCCCCAAAGCCGTAGTCACCGGATTTCTTGACTACGGCCTTGAAAGCAAAGGGTACCGTATATACTGGCCTGAAAAGCGTAAGGTCAGTGTAGAACAAAACATCATTTTTATAAGTAAACCCCTACCAGACAATGCTGGAAACGAGGGGGAGTTGTACCAGGTTTTAACACACAACCTGAAAAACTCGTCCCACATTGTCAAGAACGATGCCAAACCTGAAAAGGAAGCATCAGAGAAGACAAATAACCAGGAATCAGAACTTCCTTCTCATCCCTCCATACCAAAAGCTGTCAACACGGTTGAGACAGCATCTACACACCCGCGGCGGGAAACAGCCACAAAGCCACCTGGATATTATAGGAATTTGCACGAGGGACGTAACACAGCTATAATAAACCTAAGTGAAACTCAGCCGCTGCCCGAGAGGCTATAGAAACAACTTTATTATTTACCTAAGTGAAACTACAATAGATGTTAGTTTAAGGTGATCTCTAATAAATGTAATGTAACATACCTCAGCCGCTGCCCGAGAGACTATAGAAATGACTGAGGTATTCCTATACTAAACCCCCTACTACTTATAGTCGGAGGTGCTACTCGCTACAGTATAATGACTCCTAGGAGAACAATGGTTACTCCATGGCTTCAGCAGAGACCGGGTTTATCCGGTTTTGTCACTCCCACTTGAGTGCAACTGTAGTCCTCAACTGGTATCTTCTCCCACTGCACTTGAGTCCTCTACCATAATTCATGAATCCCATTTGGAAGATTTTGATACCCTTCAAGCCTCCTCTTGAGACAACCCCAAAGATGTTCAATAGGGTTTAGGTCAGGAGTTCACAAAATTAGCTGTCAACCATGCAATATTCCATCGCCACCACAAAGACAAAAACACTGTGCCTTCAGTGTTAACAGATGATATAGTCATCACATCTGGATCCATCTGTCTATTAAAGAGTTCAAAGACAAACTTTCACACCATTATGAAGTATCTGATTTAGGTGAGATTAAATGGTTACTAGGATTCAAGGTAGACTACAAGCAAGAATCCCGCATCATTTCAATATTGCAAATAGCATATCATGGAAATGACCAATCACTGGCCACACCTAAACAATATGACAAGATGCGCAATAACCCATACCAAAAGGCTGTAGGATGCCTCATATGGATACCACTTGGATTACGCCCAGATATAGCTTTCACTACAAAAATCCTGGCTCAGTTAAACCAGAATCCAGGTAAACTCCACTGAGAATCAGTGGAACAAGTCATTAGGTACCTCAAGGGAACTTGTGAATTGACTCTGAAGTCATTTAAGGGTGAAAAATCTATCCTGTTATATACTGATGCAGATCATGCTTTGCAGGAACACCGTCACTCTATCTCTGGACATATATTATTTTATACAGGTCTCTCAATTGTCTGGGGTGCAAAGAAACAGTCCGTAATTGCTCTTTCAAGCACCAAAGCTGAGTACATAGCAGCCACTGTTACAACCAAGAGTTTGTATACTCTGGCGCACAACTCAGACAAAGCTACAAAAAAGTGAGGGGAGTGGTTACTCTTTAGATAGGACCAAGTTTGTTGTGGGTAAACAACAGGAGGACCCACTGAGGAGTCTCCTTGATCTATTGAGGTATATATACTACTACAGGTTTGTTTGTACATGTGTACTATACAGTTTAATGAAGGTAGTGACTGATGATATCATGGGGCACAACCGGTGTGACCAGCTCCACTGTGTGAGATACTTGTAGCTAAGAATAAAGAAAAGCAGTGTAGTACAAGAAAGTGGAGTTTTTTGAACAAAATAGAAAGTGCCACATGGCACACAGTGTGAAAACTACAGAAGAAAGTTAAAGAGGAGAATGAAAGTTAAAGGTCCAAAAATTGTGTATTGTAACAGCCACTCATGCTATCAAAGACGTCTTCTGGCTACAAAGCTTCATCAGCAAAATTTGATCACCCATAGATGAAACCACAGTGCTATACTGTGGCAACCAAAGTGCCATAGCACTATCAAAAAACAACCAGTTCCACCCTCAAATGAAGCACATCAATATTTGTTACCACTTCATTCAAGAAGGTGTAGCAAATGATTAAGTTACTCTATTATTCTGGTCTACAGATGATAGCTTATCTATTTACTAAAGCTCTACCTGGAGTCAAACACGAGAAATTTGTTGACATGATTAGACTATGCTATGATTGAAGGGGAGTGTTGAGTTACAATAATTGCTTACATAGACTCAGTAATATTTTTGATTTCTTGCTTAATAATATGCAAGGCCACATAGTGTAGAAACTTTGGTTATAACACTGACCAGGCCGGGCACTTGCCTGTGCCAGTCGGGAGAATGGTTGATAGCCTAATAAGCAGAACACCCCCTGACAACTGTTTGGCATCTAATACCCTACTGGGAAGAGGTAGATCCACAGAACAGCTAGCGGGAACCCCCAGTTACTGTTTTTACAACACACAAAGAACAAGTCACCATATCAGCGCAACCCAAACAACCAGTAGATGTCAGTGTCTTTGCTGAGGGGGGTTGGCCTGCAGCTTGCTGAGTTGTGCTGTCAACTGTACAACCTCATCCTACAAAGGAAGTTGGGATTGTCACTGACCCTGGCACTTTTGAAGGAGACAGAACAAGGTTTGCAGAATGGTGGATTAAACTGCAAATTTGGATCAAAACAAACTGGGATGCATTTGCAGACAACTTTGAAGTTGTGACAGCAGTACTGTCAAGACTAAAAGGACCAGTGGCAGGTCAATACACCCAAGTCAGACTCTAGGAATGTTACCAGTTGGGCAACTGGCCAACCTGGGACAATCTTAAGCTAGATATTGTCAAATATCTCACACTATAAGCCAAACCTGACTGGGAATGCCAGCCAATCCAATCCTTCAGACAAGGAACAATGAGGACGGACAACTTTGTTACCCAGTTCCTAGCTCTCTCTACCCAAATAGGGCTTGGGATCAAACATGCAGTAGAGTTATTGGAGCAAAACATAGCTCCAGCTTTTGCTCAACAACTCTACCTGCAAGGGAAACAAGAGTCAGAGCTGATAGCCACAGCAGAAGCAGTCCAAGGACTTGGTAGAGCCTAAGAGCTCTATCAAATACAATTTGGTGGCGGGTCCATTGACAAAATCAACTTTTCCCAGAGGCACCCTGGGTTACCAAACATACAAAACTCACAAAAACAGACAGGGTATAGGCCATACGGGCTGTAACCGGGGCAAGGAGCTCCCATGGATATTGGTGCAGTCCAGGAGGGTCAAAAGCACAGATTCAAGGGCTCTTGCTACCAATGTGGCAAGGAAGGGCACATGGCCCGAGACTGTGGAACTAGGGGATAGGCTCCCCAAATCCAAAACCAAGGGTGCCAGGCACGCCAATTAAAAGCAGAAGAACTGGACCATTGGCTGAATATCTTGGGGCTGGTTGTTTTTATGACAAAATATGAGCCTTCTTCTATGATCAGAAAATGGCTGAGATAAAGGCTCAGGGGAAAGAATTTGGAGCTTAGGTAACTTGGGTACGTTAGCTCCTTAAAATGGTGAAGTAAACCACAACAAGGTGGATCAGCCTTGGGGACCATGCTATAGAATTAAAGGATATTTTCAAACTGAAAAAAGGACACATGATTCACCTCTGCCACAGAAAGAGGGGAGGTTTCAAACATCATAGATGAGCAACTCAGGAAAGGGTATATTTAACCTTTCAAGAGTCCCCAAACGGCACCAGTATTATTTATACCTAAAAAAGATGGTAAAAAGTGCATGGTAATGGACTATCATTAATTAAATGAACACACAGTTAAAAATGCTTATCCGCTACCATTGATTGGGCAACTAGTAGACAAACTGGCGGGCACCAAATTATTAACAAAGATGGATCTCAGATGGCTAGAATAATGTATGCATCAAAGAAGATGATACTTGGAAGGCAGTGTTTGTATGCCACTGAGGATCCTTCAACTCCTTGGTCATGTTCTTTGGCCTTATGAACTCGCCTGCAACACCCCGAAGCATGATGAATGAAATATTTGCCAATATGGAAGACTATGTTGTTATTTATATTGATGACTTTCTTATATTTACTGGACAAGACTGAGCACAACAAGGTTGTACAAGAAGTCCTTTAACACTTACAGGACCAGGACCTATTTGTAAAACCTGAGAAATGTTATTTTAAAGTAAAAGAAGCTGATTTTCTAGGTATGATCATTAGCCAAAATGGAATCAGGATGGACCCTGAGAAGGTTAAAGCCATTTTAGAATTGCCAGAGCCATCTTATATCAAAGGGGTTAGGGCCTTCTTCTACTGAAGATTTATCAAGGACTTTGCAAAGTTTGCAAGACCGTTAAATGATCTCACCAAAAAGGGTGTTATTTGGTGATGGACCAACAAAGAACAGGAAGCTTTTGAGAAGCATAAAAAGGCATTTACAACAGCCCCAAATCCAGCCTTCCCAGAGCTAGATAAAGAATATTGGTTAAAAACCAATGTTTCAGACTTCGCCACAGCGGCAGTCTTATTGACCAAATGCCAAGACAAGCTTTGGAGGCCTGTTGCATATTTATCACATAGCTTGTTGCCTACAGAGCGCAACTATCAGATCTATGACAAGGAGATACTGGCCATTATTAGAGCTTTATAGCACCAGGAAAACATGATGTGGCTATAAATGCAATAAAATATGCTATAGTGCATACTCACTGTGGGGATTGACTTATATTAGCTAGACTTGTAGTGTAATCTTACATTGATTTTTCTGTAAAAATATACCATTTATAACTAAGGAAAATATGAAGCAGATTTTATAAATCTGATCCCTAATATCATTTGCCTGTCCTCACAGCTTTGAGTCTGGTATTTTTAGTAAAATCATTGTACTACTGTCTCATACATTATATAGAAAATATTTACAAAATGATCATGGTTGAGGCAGGCAATATAAAGAAAATGTTTTGTAGATAATATTTATAAAATTTTCCAAGGATCCACTCTAAATTATGTTATTATTGATCCTAAGCATTTATTATGAAACGTTTCAAACTAATATCTTCCTTATATTCAACCCTTATCCACAGCATTTTTTTGAAATTATTTCTAATTATCTTCCAGACATCATGTGTGACATAATTTTTTGCATGACTATTTTCCTGAAATATGATTGGATCCTGCCAGCCAAGTCATTCCAAATCTTATCTAAATGTTTGATGATGTTGAAGCTGCCTTGGTCAGTGGATCAACACTTTGTGTCACAAAAAAAGGTGAGGCACCCCACAATTTAACCTCCAGCTAATATCTATGTTTTTGAAATTTGTGGTGGTCATTTTAAAACATTTGCACACTATGGTGAGCACCACACTCAAAAGCGACCACAGTCAGCATCCATGATCCTGATCATGAGATCCAAAGCTGCACTGAGATACCTGGGAGACAAGGTACTTGATGGTTTCTCTCCTTTATTTACATTCCAATATCATCTGGGTGACTATCTGATTTCAGCAAATGTTTGCCTTCTATCATAGGGTTACCCTACTCATCATCATCTCAATTATACTGGTTTGCTCACATTCAATAAATCCACAGCATATGGGGCCTCATACCCTCATCCTGAACTACAACACAGTCTCACTGGAAATTGTTCATCATGTTCCAGGATGTAAGTGCCTTTATTTTCAAAGGTTGTTCTAGCTTACTATTTGTCATTTGCAGTATGGATCTCTATATGGTGCGGAAGACATTGATGCGAGCCATTTGGTCTTCGTCAATATTGGCGAAAATGGCTCCACGCACATCTTCCTCATTGAACATCTGACTATAGTGAACAGTCATCATGGTTGCGGTGGTTATGAGCAGGGAGATGAGGGCAAGGGGAGGGAGGGGAGAGGGAGCAGGGGAAGGACAAGAAGAAGGAGAAGGACAAGAGGGATGAGCAGGGAAAGAGATGACTCAATTATCACCAGTATGTGGTTTCATCTTCATGCTTCATTTCTTTCACCTTTTCCTTGCAGTGTTAGTACTAGGGCTTGTCCTAGTACTGACATGTGTTTGCGCCACAATTCAGTTGTTTTTTTAGAGGGGTGCTATATTGAGATACATACATAAAACCGCTATACTTACCGTATATATTTATTTGGACTACGACTCTCACTTCTTTTCTAGTGCAAGAGGGAGGGAAAGTTGTTGGGAGGGAGAGTTGTGCATATGAGTTGTGAATTAGCAGGCAGGAAGCCTCTCAATGGCACATTATTTTACTTCCACATCAATATCCGGTACTAATGCCTCTACTATTTCTTCAAGCGTTCCCATTCCATCTTCTTCTAGGATTTGCATCATCAACAGGACAGCAATAATGGTGACTAGCAAAGCAAAGCAGGTAATTAGGCCAATACAGCCACTTCTTCCAATTTCTGATTCATTCCTGGCAGTGGGTTTTACAGATTTACTCCCAGTTTCTGCAAGATCAGGCAATTCAATGTGCAAGTTGCTGTCCTTGTGTGCCTCTGAAGTGACATCCAACTTGTCTGCAGCATTTTTATCTGAAGCTTCTCTTTCTGCTGTTTCTTGGGAGTTGTGAGTGGGCTTTTTTGACATTGTCTCATCACTGGCTTCTACCCATACACACTGTGAGGATTGATCCCCACAGTGACATCTACTACAGGCCTGATATTGTCTTTTTGGGTCCAAAATGTCCTGGTAACAATATAGGCTCTCCCTGCTATATTTTTGCATGTTTAATGTACCCTACAATGTGAGTGGTTTAAGGTTTTCAAGAAAATGGTATACTCACCACTGTTTGTAGCTCATTGTACCCTATCAAAAGTTTCAAGACCTGCAGAGGCTCCAGTGGGCCCCAAACAAAAATACATGCACTATACCCAACCCCAGCCCCTGCAATCAACCAACCCTCTTCATAGACAAACTTAATGACTCTGCCTGTGGTACCTATTCTGTTGAAGCTACTAGCCGTCTCTTAGATATTGAATAAAAATTTACCCCGTCTTGAAGATTTGAAATGGCCAGAAACTTGCCATTTGTGGACAATGATGATGAACCACTGCATATGTAAAGTAAGCTCACAGGCATGGGTCTTATGATGCCACTTACATTCGAGGTATTCTTGGTGTTATCTTCCAGAGTTTATTCAACTTTTTGCTGATGGAGTACACACTGTGAATTGGACTGTGGCTATTATGAAGGGTAATTGTAGTACTGTTTACCATACTCACATAATTCCACGATGTAGGAACGGTACCACAATAAAGTGATTCTGTACATAGTGAACATTTTGTCCAACTACTGGTTTTCCATTGTGCCCAGCTTTCGGCACTGGCAGGAAATGAGTCTTTCCCCAGGCACCTAAGGAGTCATATTTAGCAAGTTTGTCAAATCTGGGTAAGGACTATTCTTTCTTGCCTATATTATCCTGGGATACTAATATGACTTGATTATTGTACCCAATAGCAAGCTGAGTGCCGTCTTGAATAGTTTCTATGGCATGAATGCAGCCGACAACATTGTGGACCTATTGTTTGTCGTTTTCTGCTTTTTGTAGGATGGTCTGTCTGCACATACACTAACAAATTTACAGGTCTACCTTATCATTGCTAGACCCAGTAACAATTGCTCTCTCCAACAGGTTCCAGGCTATCACTCAAACTCTATGCTCTCCCTGGTAATGGCGCAAAAGTTTCCAATTGTCTGTTTCATACACCTGCACCGAGGTACAAGTCCATGGTTTTAGCATGGTTTCAGCTTCCTTTGTCAACTTACTAGAAGATCCCATCATCATCAGCATTTTGCAGGAAATTGGCAGCAGGAGAGAAGGCTAAGGTGTTTACTGCTGCCTTATGTTTTGACATTGTCTTTAGGTGTTCAAATCAAATTTCCTTGGGTTTCATGATGAAGGAATAGTTGTTCACTGGCACAGGATATTTGCAAGTCAGGTCTGCACGTGAGGGCTTGATGGTAAGACTCGTGTTTTTTTGATGTGTACGTCCGGCTAATTATATGGACACAATCTCCCATCAGATCTGCGGATGCCATCTAAATCTTGTCTGGATCTACCTTTCAGGATCAAATAAGCTGAGTTTGTGAGTGCATGGGGGTGCTCCTGTGTGTAATTACAAGGCAATCTAAACACATATCCAACTTTGAAGTCCACCTCAACCATACACATAGGTGGAGAAACTCAACTAGAACTTCAAAGAGAGCAGCATTACTTGGTTAATTCACTGGTAAGTACGTACTTACAACTGAGGCTCTTCAACACATTTTATTTCATAGTACAAGCTGTCTACACTAGTACCATCCACAAAATGCTATAACATACCTATATACTCAGCTATGTATGTTTTCCTGATAACATATATATATAAGCCTTTAAATTTCTTTCATATCTTTTGCACAAGTTCAGGATGCTGATTAATGTTCTAGATCTCTTCATGAAGTCACTTGCCATGCCTTTACTGCACGGGCACTTGTGGTGGCTCCTTACTATAGATCATATAGATACCCCCATGGCTGGCTATCAACATTGAACATCTGCATATTTTCCACCATGGCAATCCTTTGCAACAAACCTACAGGACCAGCGGTAAATATTCACCACACAAAAAAGTGTCCCTCTAAATAAACTACCTTTTCCAGCACGAGAGTTCTACTATTGGCCACACCTTCTCTTACAAATTGGATCATCTATCACCTGCAAATTTTTGTGTGCAGGCTGATCACAATTTGGAACTTGATCACCTCCTACATGTTGACATTGAAAAAACCTTTCAATTAGCACATCAAGGTGCCTCTGTACATGACTGTGTTGTTACCATCAGAACCTATAGATTCCTTGTGTGTGGTTATACCGATCCCAACCTATCCCTCAACAAGTGTCTTCAAATGGTCTCCAATTTTATCTGGCAGGGGAAGTTGTAGTTTTATACATGGGGACCAATAATCCCTTTTTCATGCGTAGGAGATGTAATGTGTCAGTTGTGTGCCGCACCATAGTCCTGTAAGACTTGAGAAAGCTAAATTTAAAATAAAATAAAAGAAAAGAAAATGTCTAACCACTGTGCAGGTTCATGAGTGATTATCTGATGGCCTTTGGACTGAATATATTGCCATCTACTTTTCTCGAAAGATAAACGTAAGTATCAAATATTCTTCTGAATTTTCATCAATTTTTAATATTAGAAGGTGCTGGTGGGTTGCTGTACATATTCCAGCAACGCAATCCCAATGTTGCAGGTTTCAACAATTCAGTACAAACACATGCCTTTGATTTCCTTTCTAGCTACCCATTTACATATATACAATATCTCAAGTTTTAAAAACAACTGAGTACAAACACATGCATTTGGTTTGTTTGTTTCTTGCTACCCATTTCTGTATATACAATATCTCGAGTTTTAAACAAGATCAACTGGGACTGAAACTGCACACCGACTACCTCCTCCTTGTGGTGGTTCAGCAGTTGTAACTTCTAATTTTGGCAAAAACATGCTTTTGTGTCTGAAACCTTGCAACTGGTTGCTGGCCTGAGTAATCCTCAAAATCCAACTGGGTGTGCCATTACTTGGCCATATTTGCAGCACACAGTGAGATTTTAAGGGGTGCACAATGTGTTAGAATATACTCTGACATACCAATACCCCATAGGATAATACCTCTGATTTGTAAGCCAGCCCAGTATGCAGCAGCTATTCTGTGTAAGATGTCCGTGGTTGCATATCATGTTTAAGATCCTACATTGTATAACCTTGGCCATATAGCTCAATTGGTAGAGCAGCTGGCATGTATCCAGAAGGTTCCAGGTTCAATCCCTGGTCTGGTCAATATCCAATTTTATCACAATGGTGCCATCATTCCGCTCAAAGTGATCAGTGATTGAAGTCCATCCATGGTCATAATGCAACCAGGCTTGCTTCAAACTATCCAATGTATTATAGTGAATACAAAGGTCTGAGGCCCCTGCTCAAAGATGGTTGGAGGGCATGTGAATTAGTGCTGGAGATGCTGAGGAAAACCAACATGTTGAGCCAAAGTCAGATTTGGAACCATAAGGACAAACACTGCAAGTTGGGAGATCAGGAGTGCCCAGCTGCTTGGGTTCTGGTGGTATAGATAAGGGAGATGATTGTATCTGTTTGTAAATGGCAGGCAAAATATCTACAAGGGCGTGTTCTAGTCCCTGGCCCTCCGTTCTGTGGCCTACATGTACAGATGCAGCATCATGCCTAACAAAAGATATATCAGAACGCCTGGGCAACAGTGTGATCTGAACTTACTGTACAGTACATGTGGAGAAAATGCTATATGCATATGATAGTCCTAAGCAAAGACCGCGGGATCTGGAGTTTCCTTGTCTGCTAAACTGCCAGGTTCGTGCGGAATGATGCCTTAAGGGGCGCCTATATCCCTGCTTCCTATTCCATTATATGAATCTAGGTCATGTATATCCTTCCCATCTTTGTCAAAATTGTTAAAATCCATGAGCGCTTGAACGTCTTCATTAATACTGTCTCCACGCTCCCAACAATTGCGATGAGTCCTACACTCTTTTGGAACCCTACTCTGATCCTGGAGGAGCTACTCTATGTGAATTTGATTTGTTGAAAGGCCATCTCATGTGATGAAACAAAATCAGTGTGTTACTTGCAAAGCAAGCCCAGGAAAGTAGTGGGCACAGGCAACAAGCCTGAGGTCCGGAATGAAAAGCCCACTGGCAATATGAAAAACTATCCCTCAACAGATCCTGAGCTACACCTGAAAGCACAAGTTGTTTCATGAAACTCAGTATTACAAGTGCATAATGATAGCGTAGATCAACACATAAGGCCTATGATAGTTGCCTAAATTAGAATATCAAAAAAACTACAGTCCACAAGGCTGAGCCTACTTTCTCAACACTAAAATTTGTTATTTTGAAACCTATGTATTTTGTCCGCTGAGGCTTTTTATAGGATACTTTTGGCTTTTACCGTAGGACATTAGGATAGTATTACCTTTGCACGCCTATTTCTGAAGGAACTGTGGCGCCACTATCTCTTGGTTCTTTCTAACACCACCCCTTTCTTCTAGTTATGCACCTATCTCTATTGGTATTTTTTCTGATTGTCTGATTGACTAGTACTGCATGTTGTGACTTCAGATCTAGATCTATTGCATCAATATGTTTGTTTTAGTCATCCCGATATATATCATGCATGAGGCAACCCTCATGTCCATGCACACACGTACGTGGATATTGGTCCCTTTTTCCCTTTCAATTTGTAAGACTGGTTTCCCTTTACTCTTGTCAAGTTTCTCAACTAATTACTTCTTTTTTCTGTTCAGCTCTTAGGTTTTCTATGAGATTGTATACTGGTACCTGGCCACAGTCCATCTAGATGCCAACTACTTGACTTCAAGCATGACAGCAACACAGAGATGAGCAACATACAGGCCTTGGTACTTACTACAATGTTTAAGCTTACTGCTAACATGTCTTGCTTCTTTTCTCAGCAGAAACTGGGTCAAGTAGGATGAGTGAACCTCAGGAGCCAGCAAATTGCCCCTTTTCTAAAACTATGAGGTCTAAAACAAAGAGGAATGATCATGAGTGGTTTATTAACTGGCATGGCACCCTTTTGACCTTTGATATGGCCCCAGGATCAGAAGCTTCTTGTTCTTCAAGGTCTACCAATGTCACTCATGAAAGCAAAAGACACAGAGACATCCACCAGTTCCGGTGAGTAACTTATTGTCGTCTTGTATCCTATTGATTTCAACCTATGTCTTGTCAGCAACTCCAGTCAAATCAAAACAAGGGACACCAGGAGTGACACTGCTTCAGCAAGTGTCAGACACCCTAGGCCTCTCACTCACAGATTAAGGGGGACTCTTATCTAGTTGTATGCAATCCCAGGTCACAGACGGTGGGCTGGATGCAGATATGTTCACTTTGCTCATATGTCTACTAATCTCATGTTATATTTCAGGTTATCAGCCCAATCATCTTTTGAGGTTAGTTTTTGAGACTGGTAAGCTGATATATGCCTCTTGCCTCATGTCGCTTTAATGTATTCAAAATTCTGTTGCTGAGTCTGTGCCTACTGATAATTCCTCACATCCAAGCCCTCCATGAAGCATTGTGCCTTCAGAAGCAGCGGGATCACATTGATTGTCTGTTGCTAGTTTCTTCAGTTTGCGCAGCCGCCATGATTGCCCAGCATCAGCAACGAACAAATTTGCACCATCACCATGCAACCTCTCATCTGTTATTTCTGGGTATTGGCCTGACCCTGTTTTAAGAGCAGTGTTCAGTATGTGGTCTGTTTATTTGCAGTGGTAACAGCAATATCTAATTAGAGTCTATTTGTCTTCAGGTAATGAAGTACTGGATTCATCACACCCTTCTAATGTAGCCTTGACCTTGACGTCATGTCCCTCCATTGCCCCATCTCCTCAAGAATTGGGTGTTGCATCAATGATAAGTCTTCTTACGGTGTGCTTGTTGTTATCACCAGATCCAGTGTTACCTGCCAAGGGCAATACACATTCACTAAGTGTATCCTCTACACCTTGAACTTCCATCAGGAAAAACCATTTTGCTATATAGCTGGGTATATTTTTATAGCTGCTATAATAGCTATTAAATTTCTATGTGAAGCCTTATAGTTAATATGTCAGCTATACTAGCTATACCAGCTCATTTATGTCTATGAGAACCTTTTTCTGATACTAATAATGATAGAATTAATATTCACCAAATAGTTTGGTACGCATACAAACTAGCTCAATTATTTAATAAAAATCTATCACAAACATCCAAAGCATTTTCTGTACCCCAGTGAGCAGGCACTTGATCTTTTCCAAACAAAGGCAACAAGTGGCAGCCTTGTTGTATACTGCTCAATGGTACTATGGAAGCTGGTGGAGTACCATCAGCTCTAAGTGCAGATTTTGTAATTGCATACATCATATGTGCTGGATCTGCACTACCTTTCAACTTGGTGTACCATTCAATGTATGCCAATGGAATTTTGGGCCAATGTTTTGGTATACCAACAAAACCACCATGAAAAATGGCAGGGAGCTTAAATATTACTTTAACTCTTCCAACACGTGTACCTATATCATAAAACATTAATTCACAACTTGAAACTGATCATGAAATTAGAGGAAAATATTACCAGCAACACCTGTTGACTCTGCTTCTAATGAGTCTAATATGACAACATTATCAAACTGTGGAGCAATTTCTTTGGACCTAGGTCTTGCTTTGATGACTTCGTACTTTACACTTGCACTAGCATCATCTCCAAGGTGAATTGGAGTGAGTTTGAAACTAGTGAATACGTCAAGTGAATCAAATGGGAGATTTGCAATATTGACTTGATTTCTGGACATAAAACCTGGCTGACCGTGCATTAGGCGATTCAGAAACTCCTTGATATCACATATGAAGCCATGATATTGGTGGTTTTGTTGAATTGATTGAAGGGGTTGTTGTGGAAGAGGAGATACTTTAGCTATGTTAATACCTAAGCCAGATGGATTCTGGAGAATATCTTGCTGACGTAGAACTGGTCTATTTTGTAAAGACAATTGATAGCATTCAAACCACGCAGTTTTTTCTTGCCTTGTTAGCCAGGTGGTCATTTGTGGATGCTCATTTCTATGATTTGATCATGCATCCTTGGCCATGACTATGTGGAAATGTTCAAACATTTCTGTGTTGTAGTTATTTGTAGCCCCAAACCAGCGAATAGAGTCAACATAGTGTAGTAGAGAGTGAAATTTAGGAATATAAAAATTTTCTCTAACGTCCAGAGTGACCAAAATTGCTTTATTTTGATGAAATGTTTTGAGAGCATCCGATAGATATCCAAGGGTTGTATCACTGTGTGTGGGGTACTGAGCAATGTAAATGAAGTCCAAAAGTGATCTAATTGCAATAATTGCCTGCTTGGGGAGTTTTCCTACAAGGCATCCTAAAAGTACCTTGGCCATATCTTTTCTTTCGCCTCCAGATATCTGAGAAAGAGACGATAAACCAATTTTGAAATGCTTTGATCCATATACAGGAGATAAAGTGCATATTCTTGCATCCAGTTCCTCTGTACCCATAAGATCTTGGCACCATAAGACGATATGTTTAACGACACCTTGATATAACTGATACAAGACATCAGGGGTAATGCAAAGATGAATATCACAGTAGGGAAATCCTTCCCAAAATGGCCTGTAAACACCTCCAGATACATCTTTATCCATACATTGATCAAAAAATTCTCTCCTTGAGTTCGAAGATGAGGGTTGATTAATGACAGAGAGAGTGTAGTTTTTGTAACTGTAACAAAGTAATACTCAGTCTCTTGTACGAGGACTCAGGTATATTCAGCTATTACCTGTAACAAAGTGATACTAGGTAGTAGCTTTCAGTAAATATAAGAGTATGTATGTATGTATAAACTTACCTCAGTCTCTTGTACGAGGACTGAGGTATCCAGAAAGCGTGAATTAACAACTTCTATTGTAGTTAAATGTCCGATAACAAAATAGGAATTGGCTCTCAGCCACCACTGGAAGTGGTGGTAGAGAGCTATAGTGTGTGAGGCTCAAACCTTATTAGTTTGGGCAGATATGTGTTATGCACGAAGTGCTTAACAAAGTCTGAGGGTTCGTCGAGGTTTGTAAAGAGACTTATCCGAAGACAAGTTCAAGAATGTAGATCTGAGTGGAGGTTTTCCAACGGGAGTTGGTCTTCTTCTGAATAGAAGTCTGATCTTAGGAGTCTAGCTTTGTAAGCGTAAACCGCATAGAATTGTATTAGAGAATACTACTGCTGTTACATGGTATTTATAATGGAAAGGAATCGGTGATAGGAGTTAGGTCCTATCTAGGGCAGGTCCGTCTGTTGAGGACTAAGTACTATAATAGGTACTGTGAATGCGAGAGGAACAGAAGTTTATGTGAAGGAAATGAGTCATTGGTCCGATGGTATAACCGATGAGTAAAAAGAAATGAGTAGTCCTTAAATGTCCAATAGAGATCATAACAATATGCTACAACACTCCTCCTTGAGCCTAGCGCACTCCTAGCATCCCAGTGAACTTGGATAATTTTGCTCTGGGCAACGCCTTCGTCATCAAATCGGCCTGCATTTCTTCAGTGGGGCAGTATAGAACAATGGTTTGGCCTTTCTCAATGGTGTCACGGATGTAGTGACAAATCTCGATGTGCTTTGTTCAAGCATGGAATACATTATTATTGGTGAGTGCTATTGTACCTTGGTTGTCCGTATATACTGGTGTCGGGCTTTCAGGAGCGCTTCCAGAGACGTTGGATATGAATCCTCTTAGCCAGACGGTTTCCTTAGTGGCGTTGGTGAGCCCAACATATTCGGCTTTGGTACTCGATAGTGCTACAATCAATTGTTTCTTAGAGCTCCATGATACGGTCCCGCCATATGCTTTGAATATATTTCCTGAGATCAAGTGGTGATGGGGCTGCAATCCCCAATCACTATCTGTGTGACCAATTATTCCTCTGTTTTGTCTGCCAAGTGTAAGTCCCATTGCTTTTGTCCCTTTTAGATATCTAAATATTCTCTTGACAGCCTCCCAGTGATTTAGACCAGGATTTTGCGCGAATTGGGAAGTTATTGAGACAGCGAAGGCTGTATCTGGACGTGTCTCCAAAGCCAGGTACATCAGTTTTCCGACGGCCATTTTGTATGGTATGTTTTCCATTTCGTTCTCTTCTTGGGCAGTTACAGGCGACTGATCGTTTGATAGAGCTATGCCTGGTTCCATGGGGGTTGAAACTGGCTTTGAGTTTTCCATGCCGAAGGATACTAACATGGAGTCGACATATGCCTCTTGTTTCAGCGTTATTGTTCTCTGTGGTCGGTTACAGATGATTTCAAATCCTAGGAGCCAATGTATAGGACCCATATTGGATATTTCGTATTCGTCACACAGGTGATTTTTGAAGTTGTTTACTTGCTCTAATGAATCACTGGTCACGATCATGTCATCAACAGATACCCCAACAACCACATGAGAGTCCTTGTCTCTTTTGACAAAGACTGCATGGTCATATTCTGATTTCGCAAAACCGGCTTTTATGAACGTTTTTGTTAGCTTTCTGTACCAGCCCAATCCCGCTTGTTTTAAGCCGTATAGCCCCTTTTTTAATTTGCATACCATCCCTTGCTGACTATCTTTCAGGTAGCCTGGTGGTGGCCTCATATAAATTTCTTCATCGAGTTCTGCATTTAGGTACGCGCTCTTTACATCGACTTGGTGGATTTCCCAATCTTTTGCTGTGGCGTGGGCCAATATGATTCTATGGGATGCTAGTCTTGCGACAGTTCTCACTGGACCCAACAATTTTCAGATATGGAAACTCCGGATCATCTCAAAGCTACGTCGGGAAAAGGTTCTCCGGGTTGTTACTGGAGAGGAGCTTAAGCCCTCACCAGGAAAACCTACCTCCTTGGAGGATCCTGAGATCACCTGGATACTTAAGGATGAGAAGGCACATGGAATCATCCAGGACCACATCTCTGATGCCCTCCTAATGAGGACTGGAGACCTCACCAGCTCCAAGGAGTTATTTGATAAACTTGTCTCACTCCATCAGACGTCCAACATTGCCTCAGCCTTCTATTCATTCCAGCAACTCACCAAATTGTCCTGGGATAGGACATCATCTATCCAGGACCACATTTCAAAAATCCGGACAATTGATTCACACCTCTCCGGAATGAAACTAGGAGTTGATACCAAACTCATGGCTTTCACTCTTCTCCAATCTCTCCCATTCACTCCTGAATGGCAAATATTTCAGTCATCAGTAATCAACACGATTGAAGAAAATAAACTTACCTTTAATGCAGTTAAGATCCGGATCACTGCAGAAGTTGCACGACAGTCAGGGAAGGCCCCTGGAGGTTCCAAATCAGCACTCAAATCCGAGGAGAAATGGTGTGACTTCCACAAAGCCAAATCACACAACACCTTGGAGTGTTGAACACTTCAGTCAGCTGAAAAAGGTCAAAGGAAGAAGGGAAAGGAAAGACACAAGGATAAAGGAAAAGATATGGAAAAGGCAAATACAGCGGAGCAATCATCTGGATCTGACTCCGAGGAGGAACAGAGTCATATTGCATTGGATCATGTACATATTTCCAAGCCCCTTGCTGAACACATTCAAGCTTACCTTGTGTCGGAACCCAATAAGACCAAAACAACAATTATTATTGACTCCAGAGCAACATCCCACATGATAGCCTATGCTAGTGATTTAACAACCCAACAAGTCCATCAGTATTTTGGCTCTGGTAAAGTGTTAGCTTGTATATCTAAACTAGTCAGTCCTATGTATATGGTAACTTATGTTAGCAATATAACAACTCAAAAGGTTCATCAGTCCTCTAGCCTTGGTGAAGTGATGGATAAGTAAACCTTAATTGACCCTTCCTACCAACTTGTTGGTCTGTGGTAGCTAACACTAACAATGCTGTCACTATGGTAACTGGTAAATTAATAACAGGAGCTCTTTTTTTTATCAGCTTTAGCATCATTGTGAGTTATGTCATAGTTTTTGCTAGTTGTGCAATGATCAGATTGTGTCTAACAGTTAGCTAATGATTTTGAGTATCACCATGTCTGTGTGAAAGATGCATTGAAAATGACAATGCAGAGCTATAACTTCAAGATTGCAAAGGTAAAGAATTGAGTTCAGGTTACAAATTGGATGGTTATGACAAAAGTGACAACTTGGTGTCATACACCAAAGTTAATTTGTAGCACAGACAGGTGTCAGTAATGAAGAAGAAAATTCAGAAAGACTTGCATTTGCACTACACAGGCACATTTCCATGTGGCATAGTAATTTTGCCTTTTTTGTGCTTATGGCTGATTATCATGCTATGATCAATTCAAACTCACACTTACCCTTGCCTTTCAACTGGTACTGTCCGTACTCTGCACTTTCAGCAATCTGGCAATTTTTGTGTTGCCACTTGGCTACACATTGGGCCCTCACCTTTGTCCCCTTTCCCCCATTTCCCTTTCCTTTCTCTGGCCACCACCATAGCCCATTTACTGTTTTTTCTGCTCCCACTGTGAGGAATCAAATTTTCCATCGCATCCCAGTCGAGGTGTGGCTTTCCTGCCACGTTATTAGCTATTAATCTAGAGATTACCACTGGTACTCTTTTATTTTTCTCTTTTCTTTTCCTCTTCTCTATTCCTCAAAAACTATTACTTTACTTATATTGTAGACAGAGAGTTCCTCATGTACACCCAGGAGATATCCCACTGGCAATTATAGGCTGAACTATTAGCCATTGTGGGAATACTCCGGAGTAAGATCAATAAGTGAGTTGGTCTGTAGTCAGTGTCTTACTTATAGGGTGGCTGTACTAGCAATACTCTTCAGCAACTCATACTCAGTGTCTACCATTCTACTCAAGAGACTTAGCCTGTTGTGGTTGTTGTTATATAGCTTTGTATTTGTTGTCTTACACCCACTGTGTTTTCTGGATCCTCATTATTGTCCATTCATTCATCACCTTCACCTTTATCCTCCTCATTCTCCTTGCTCCTCCCCTTCTCCATATCTGATGTCACCTTTTTCCATTCAATTCT